CCCAAATTCGATTGGATGCAATTACCATTCTGAAAAATGATTGTGCCGAACATTAAAAGGACATGAAAAAAGAACATAGTTATTAGGATTAAAATGAAATCACATAAATTGGTCTTGGTATACGCAGTCCCCGTATCCTTTGCTATTCGCATTCGGTAAGCATACAATAATCACAGATGGAAATGGTTGAGCAGATAAACCCACCCACCCTGTATCGGTCAAGTTCGTTTGACTGTGTGTCTCGTGAACAGGCAATCTAATGGGCGGATGAACGAGCACTCGAGGCAGCGATCGACGCAAGGATTTGTCTCGTGCGAATCGTCTGCAACAATGCGCCGCAAGTGCGATCTGTGTCGTATCGGGGTTCGCGTTGGCCAAAGGCACCGGCTTATTGGATGGTTCCGCGGCTGAGGACTCACGAAAAACCCCGTTCGATTGGGAATGAGTGGAACTTTTCAGAGAGACCGAGGTGCGCAAAGGTCGACGCAGATCAGTGGCAGATATGAAACCATGAACCAGACCGAGGACTTTGATTTTTTCTGTTTGGGATGGACCCAGAGAGATGTAAGCTGTGGAATGTGCTTTCTTCAATCCCGGATTCGATTCGTTTCCACTGAAGGAGAACGAACTCGGTGTGGCAACGTAAAACTGAACAATCAAAGTGGGATGAAAAAGGAAATACGAAAAATCTATTGGGAACCACCAGGAGCATTGTAATCGCATAGCAACTGAAAAAACAGGTGAGTTGAGGAGATTTCATACCACGTGCCGATTAAAATACCAGCCATGCGCTTTGTGACTAAACATTCGCTTGAAACCGCTGAGAATTCGTGACTAGTATGCTTAGTGAGATCGATGACGGGTTGGCATAAGTGTGTAACTGTATGCTATTTACCGCGTCCCTAGTTCGCGGATAGGGGAACAACTGTCATTTCACGGTTGAACGAGAATAAGGTTGCCCAAGGCTCATTGAACAAGCCGTTGCAAGCCAACCGAACCAGTTCTCGGGGATGTAGTGGAATTTCCATTTGATAAGGGGTGTTCGTACAAAACAACACATATATGTTAACACTGATGTGAAAAGGTGAACGTGAGCCGCCACTAAATATGGTCACCATCCCATATTATTTCAGCAATCTGAACCTGTTCGAAAGAAGAGGAGAATGAATCATACGACTGGCCATGAACTCACCTATACCAGTGCTGCTGCCTTCCGGTTCGCGGTTGGTTGCACCGAGTCGGGAAGGCATTCTACAACAAGGTTTACTCATCACCAGGCAACCGAGTCCTACAACAGCTAGATGCAAGCAACTAGGAACATTTCTCAGTCGCAGAGCACAAGTATTTCGCACCGATCTTAGAAAGTTAACAGTTCTACACCGTAACTATGGATGATTCCTATCTACTGTGTACACAATATTTCACGAACGACAGCAACTAAACACTGTACACAACTTGTTTACCCTGAAATCTACCCCATTTTCATGTGGAGAAGAGATATGAAGAAATGCACACAGCTATTAGGTAGAGTGGATATCATCTACAAAAGCCTCGGTATGTGGTCGGGGATGGGTGTCTAGGGTTGCGGCTGGCCACCCTTCTCTTGCACCTCACGAAATGCTCCCGTACGACCAAGCGTCTCAAGTAGCCTCTGCTGAGGAAGCCCTAATCAGTGCCTTTTCGTGGCGGAGGTGTTTTCCCACCAAAGTTAGAGGATGAACAGCATATATCCGGGGCTATAGCCGGGTTGATGAACCACTGGTAGTTCACCTAGGGGAGTTGACCAAAAACCCTGATTCCAAATCAACCGGGAGGAGGCAAACGAACCACACACCTTCCTGGTTGTGGCAGTTGTAGTCACCGGCTGGATTGGACACCTCGTACTTTTGATCCCGCCCGAAGGGCGTATGATTCGATTAACTGGATAGTTGCCCACAACGGATTGCGGTTTTCGCACACAGCCCCGCTGCCTTGCGGGTCAGGCTTTGACTAACCAAATACTCCTATCCTGGATTCCTCAAGAAAACTCACTTGTCTTGGCCTGGGCAATCTGGCAGTATTCCACCCACATGCAACTTATGGAACGGTTTTCTTCTTCATAAAGATTATTATACCATGATTTGTTTGGCACACAGTCTGGATTCGGATGTGTGAAATATAATTAAATATGTAACATATGGAGTAGGTCAATGTTTGAAAGACTGCAACTGTTTGTTTAAGGCAATTGAAGGAAATGACAGCGAAGCGACAGCAGTGGCGTTCTTGTTATCATTTCTTACCACGTCAGAATGCTTGAGGTGGTGTGCCTGCACAGTTAAAATGGACTCCGTGTTAATTACTTCCTTCTCCGTCCCTAAAAACAGGACCCACAACTGACCATGTTAAATATTCTCACTAACTTTGCGTGCATTGCAAGTTTGGCAGCGACCACTGAAACTCGCTTCACTGCATTACGTTGTACGAAGATGACGGCGATGATAAAAGTTGACCACGTGCTTCGGTACGCGGTCTGAATGCACCGGACAGCGACGGCTATACTGCGAGGAACTGTTCCAACCTACCTGCCTTGCAAAACAGTAGGCGGAAAGCTAGAACTAACATCAACCAGTACTGGTCACTTATCAAGAACGGTCAGCATTTCAATGGATTAGTGAGCTGTGATCTGACAGGTCGGGTTATGTGAACCCGGATTTTTGCACTCCATACCTTTTTAGCACACACCCGTAGTAAGTATAACGAGAGAAACAACAATCGTACCAAGATATGAACTCAACTCAAATCTACGCAGAAATCGATAAGTCTGGTCGTCACGGCACATGTCACTCGAGGATTTTAATATACGGAGGTTGGAGACCAGAGTTCATAAGAATGCAAGCTCCGACAAGTCGATGATACGCGTACAACTATTATTTGACCAGTTAGTTTTGTTCCGTTTGTATTCAAATGGCATAATTTCAATTGCGACGGAAATATTTGTGATGAATCACAATGAGCATCGGACACCTGTTTCGTTCTGTTTGGGCCTCATCAGTAGTGAGTACACCCTGTGTCCCTGTCGGGACCCGAGTCGCAAACCTTCGGGTTGCGACTTCAAACCCTTACCCTTAAACGACACAGTCAACGGTCATTACCTTGTGCGAATGGCTCAACCAATTAAGACGATAAATATTTGGATTAGCCCACTTGGTTTTTCACAGGCACCAGGTACCATTGGGTTTAGGTTTTGCTCATTGAGAGATCTTTCAATTCTCCACCAGTTAAATACACTTAAATGCGACAGGAATATTTGTGCTGGACAGTTGTTTCGTCCTGTCTGGGACTCGTCAGTAGTGCGTACGTCCCGAACAGGACGAAACAGATGTCCAGTGCTCTTTGTGACCCATCATAATGAAATGCAGTTACCTAGTTGGGAAGTAACGATCTAACAAGGAGTGAAACCAACACCCAAGACCATCGAGAATGCCTGGTGTCTCTGAGCAATCGAATGGACAAATCCAAACATGTTACTCCAAAAAGATCATACTTTTAATTGCAGTTATTCGTTCAATCCGTAAAAGTCCATGCTGAGTCAGGGAGTTTTCGAGTTTTCTAAACAGAAAAAAACGATTAACCGACATGAAAAATAGCGCAGTAATTTTATATAGTAACAACATATAGTCGCAAACAAGCTCTCTCTACAGGCTAATACATCATGATTTCTGTCACAAAGTTTAGTAGGGGGAGAAAACATGTCAAAATGGGAAAAGAGGTTATCAAAATTCCAGTCCCATGACGGATGTTGCTCACATTTTGATCATCATACAGATAATAAATTATTTTTTCATACATGTCTGAGTTCTGAGTGCGCCCAACGAAGCACGGTACAATAATCTTCATCAAACACACGGATTGGTTCGGGTTATTAGGGACGGGCAGGGGGAGAGCTGTGTCGTGTTTGTTGGCCATGAAAGACCGAATGTTCTTACAAGTTGTTTTTGGGAGTACAGGGGTGGGTGGGTATGTATGCGGATTTTGATCGCCTCCGTTGTGGCCGTAATGCGACTCCTAAGATCGGCGACTGTGAACTTAGTAGAGAGGTCGATACGCCTCGGTCACATTAACCATGTGGTTCTACTCCACTATTCGGAATACCGGGCTTGTTAATGTTCACTAAAGGAGACCTAGAACAGAAATTCAGTACCGTATCGTCACTAAGCTTAACTTAACCGAGCGCTACTTCAAGTCCCGGGGCTTAGGTTACCGGTTTTTATTACTGAAAAACAAGTCATTTTGATTACGCAGTCCGCCTCATCTGTTAATTGTCACACGTGTTTAACCATAAATAAATAAACAAATCTCA